GCTGGCGTGGGGGCAAGGTCGAGGAGGCCGCGCTGCGCCTCTCGAGCGAGCGGTCGCGCCCCTCCGCGTGAGGCCGCGACAAGGTTGGCGGCAGCGGATGGCGGCAGCGTGCGCTGCACGTGGTTGCACCGTGGCACAGCGCAGTACAGCAGGAGGGCCCAGGCACATTGAAGGTCCGGCAAGTGTGGGAGCTCTTAAAGGAATTTGCGTCCCTCGTCTGTCCGCTCTTGCGTCTACCTGGCTGCGAACGCCGGCGTGCCCAGGGGCGTGCCGAGCGCCTTGCAGCCGCGGTGGTCCTCAGGCGTCCAGGCGCCGCCGACCTACACATCTGTGCCCAGCGCCTGGTGCCCTTCTGGTTCGAAGCCGCCTCGGTTCCACACGCATTGCGTTCGTGACCTCGTAGACAGCTGCAGTGGCACGCTTTGGTCTGCGTATGTTGTAGACGTCGTCGAGGTCAGCATGCAGCCCCCCCCCAGGTTGCAGCCGCGCGCGCGCGCCATCTCCAGGGCGCCGTGTTGGGCCAAGGGATACAGCGCTGGGACAAGCGGGTCGCCCTGCTCTCCGCCCTCCCCTTGCGCCACCTCGTGCGCGACTCCTGCGTCGTCTGTCCACCAGTGCCTCGACGGCTGGCCGTCCGAGACCAACGCAGTAAGGGAACCAAGGCAGAGGCCCCAGGTGAGGACAGGAGCTTCTCGATCATACGGTCGCGGCGCGCGTGGTCGTAGGCGCCAGAGTGCCGTCGATGCTCACGATCGTTGCGGCGGCGTCAGCGTCAGCGGCGGCGCGGCGGGAGTGGGCCGCGCTGTCTTGTGCCAGCTCGCGTCGACAGCGCGTGCTGGGAAGGCGCGCAGGCGTCGTCCATCTCGGCCCCGAGCTGCCGAGAGAGCGCCAGTGCCGAGGGCGCGGGCGACGCTCACTGGGATCTCTGCCCAGGCGTGCACTTCCGCCACAGCAGCCTGCAGCTCGAGCGTGTCGTCCTCGTCCAAGGCCAACTTGAGGAGCTCAAAGCTTGCGCCGCGCAGCTGGCTAGAAGACCCCTTCGGCGCAGAGCGGACGCACTGAGTCCAGATGCGGCGGTCTAGCTCGACCGGGCGGGCTGGGCGGGAAGCGCGCGCAGCTGGCGGCAGCGCGGCTGTGGGCAGTGGTGGGCGCCGAGCAGGGTCCCGCAGCTCAGCCAGCGCCCGCGCGACGCCAGCAATTATCGTGCTTTGCTGAGGCGGCCTGCCCTGACCAGCGCCACCGCCTTCTCTAGGGTGCGCTGGCGGCTCGCCTCGGCGTCGTCTGCATGGCGCGCGGCTGGGGCTCCCTGTGCCTGAGTGCTCGGTGCGAGCAGCGCTTCCCGCGAGCCCTCCTCGAATTGCTCAAGTCGCTTTTCGAGCTCTCGCCGCCCTGGGGCCCCGGCGCTGGCGGGCCTTCTTGCAGCAGCGCGCGCCACATAGGATCAGCAGCGCCCACGCCCTCAACCTCTGCAGTTCGCCGCCCTCGCCGCGCAGGCCGGCGTAGAATCGCTCGACGCCCGCCCGCGCGAAACCCTGGAAGATGCCGAACGCCTCGCAGCACTCGTTTGACACGATCCTTCTCATTGCCTCTCTCAGACAACTGTTGCCGGCCACTGAGGCGCCCCAGTCTCGCCCCTGCCCCTTCGCCCATGCCCTGACCGCCAGCCTGCGCAGCAGCTCCCAGCACCGCGCAATCTGGGGGCGCGGTCTCCCTCGGCGGGCATCGGCATGATCATGGCGAGGGAGCTGAGGAGCTGTCAAGGCCACCCAATCTTCAGCTCGCACGCGTTGAACAGGTCCACGATCGCCTGCCCTCCATTTTTCGGCAGCCGACGGATGTCGCTGCAGCAGAGCCCGTCAACTCTTTAGCCCTTGTCGGTTTTGCCCCTGAGGGTGGAGTCCAGGTCTTAACGCTCCGCTGCGGCGGCTCTTCAGCTGCCGCTCGGTTCCTTAGCTCCGTCGGCATCGCCGCGTGATTCCTATGCGCCGCCTCCTCGCACTGCCTGATCCCGGCGGAAATGGCGACCTTCTCGTCCACAATCTCCAGCGGGCAGCCGGCGACGCCGTTGGTCGCGTCGAGCTCCTCCTCCCTCCGAGACCTCCTGGAGCACCATGTGGTAGGCTTGCCGGGGGCGGCCTCGAAGGAACGCCGGCGGCGCCTGGATGCACGTCACCCGGCGGCGGAGTTCAGCTTTTAGGTCGACGCCATCAGACGCGTCCAGGCGGCGTCAGTGAAGGCGGAGCGGGCTCGGCGTTGTCGACGCGCCGCGCTGCCGCCTCCGCAGGGCTGGGCTTGCGCTGGCGGCGCAGCGCCGGCTCTGTCGGAGGCGCTCTGGCTGTCGCCGCTCTGCTCGTCGTCGCTGTCGCTGCCGCTGCTGCTGCTGCTGCTGGGCGGGCTCCCGCCTCCACCACCGCCTCTTCCTCCTGCCGCCTCGGCCTCTGCCTCCTGTCTCTCCTCTGCCGCCTCTTCCTATTCTGCTCCCGCTGGCGTCGCCCAGCCTTCGGCCTTCTCCTGCGATCCCTCTGCTGGCGTCGTCGCTTGATTGAGGTCTCGGTGGCGCAGCTGGTGGCGGCATATGTGGGGCAGCTGCGGCCCACCTGGCCGGGTCGCGAAGCTCGTTTGTGCGCTGGTCGACTCCCCGGGCCAGCACGACCCCTCCGAAAAGCTCAAGCAGCGAGGTCCTGGGCGAGGTCGTCGATGTGGCCCGCGCAGTCCGCAAGCGCTCTTACTACAGGCTGCAAGTTGACATGTCCAGGGCGTGCCCCGCTTCCAGCGGCGACCGCGGCATGCACCGTCCCTGGGCTGGCCCCTGCGTGCTTCAGCCCTTGGGCGAAAGTCTCGGCTGGCACGGGGTCCGGTCGCTGCAAGGCGTCGACTGTCAGCTGCCGCCAATCGCGCGTGAGCGGGTGCGTGCTCCATCGTGCCACCACCTGCTGGTCAAGAAGCCCCGTCGCCGCCAACAAACCAAAGGAACGTTAACGTCTGAGTGGGTTCGTGCTCGCAGCGGGCCCGCTGGGGGGTGTCATCTGGCGAAGCGGCCAGGCTGCTGTTGCTGTGCGCCGGTGGGCGCTTGTTCGGGGCGCGCTCTTGCGTCTGCCCCTGGCGCGGGCGGCGGCTGAGGGCCAGCGGCGGCTGACTCAGGAAGCGGCGTGAGGGCGCAACCCTGGCAGAGCGAACCTCCTCTGCCATGTCCGTGTCTCTCCTGCGGCCCCGGTAGCCCGCGCTACCCGCTCGATTGGCCCTGGCTGTCCGCAGGGGCACTGCGGCGGTCTCGCGCCCTGTGGCGGCGGGGCGCCGGCCCCAAGGGCGCGACGTCGCAAGCGACGCATTTCCAGGTGCCGATAAGCCCGCGGGGTCCACGATAGTGCCGCCACTGCGTGGCTTGCATGTGTCGCGGGCAAATTGCGATGGCATGTGGCGCGTGCCCTCCTGGTTGCAGCAAGGGCTCTCCTGCGTAAGGGTCCGCCTCCTCCTCCTCACTTGGCGGGCTGGCCGCGGCTCGGCAGCGTGAGCACCTGCATCCTTGGGTTGGGTAGTCTCCAGATGCCTTGAGTGGCGCCACGAGGCCCGCAAGCTCCGCCACGCCACCTGGCGAGTCACCCCACGGGCTGTTGCAAAGGGGGCGCGGCGACCTTTCGGCTCGGGACGCGTCCCTTGTGTGGAGCAAGTGGAGCAGGCCCGCCCGTGTCGGCCTATGTCTGGCCGCGCATGCCGTGTGGAAGCTGCTGCTGCTGCTGCTGCTGCTGCTGCTGCTGCTGCTGCTTGTTGTCGCGGTTGTGGTAGTGGTTGTCGTGGTTCTGCTGGTCGCCGTGCTGCCTCTGGTCGCCGTGGTGGTGGGTGTGGTGGTGCTGGTCGCCGTGATGGTGGTGGTGGCGCTGCTGGTCGTAGTCGTAGTGTTGTTGGTGGTGGTGGTGGTGCTGCCTCTGCTGTGGCTTGTTGTCGCAGTTGAGGTAGTGGTTGTCGTAGTGCTGTTGGTCGCCGTGCTGCCCCTGATCGCCGTCGTGGTGGTGGTGGTGGTGCTGTTCGCCGTGCTGGTGGTGGTGGCGCTGCTGGTCGTAGGCGTGGTGGTGGTTCTGCTGCAGCTGCTGCTGCTGCTTGTCGTCGCAGTTGTGGTAGTGGTTGTCGTAGTGCTCCTGGTCGCCGTGCTGCCCCTGGTCGCCGTCGTGGTGGTGTTAGTGCTGGTCGCCGTGCTGGTGGTGGTGGCGCTGCTGGTCGGATTCGTAGTGGTGGTGGTGGTTGTGCTGCTGCTGCTGCTGCTTGGTGTCGCGGTTGTTGTAGTGGTTGTCGTGATGCTGCTGGTCGCCGTGCTGCCCCTGGTCGCCGTCGTAGTAGGGGTGGTGCTGGTCGCCGTGCCGGTGGTGGTGGCGCTGCTAGTCGTAGTCGTAGTTGTGGTGGAGGTGGTGGTGGTGCTGCTGCTGCTTGTTGTCGCCGTTGTGGTAGTGGTTGTCGTGGTGCCGCTGGTCGCCGTCGTGGTGGTGTTCGTGGTTGTGGTGGTGCCGTTCGCCGTCGTCGTGGCGCTGCTCGTCGTAGTGGTGCTGCTGGTCGCCGTCGTGGTGGAGGTTCTGGTCGCCGTCGCGGTCGCGGTGGCGGCAGTGCTGGTGGTGGTGCTGCTGGTGGTAGTCGTCGTCGTGGTGGTGCTGCTGTTGCTCTTAGTTGTTGTGGTGGTGGCGGTGCCTTTGGTGCTGCTCGCAGTCACTGCTGCGGGCGTTCCTGCGAGCTGCCGTGCCCCGCCCTGCTCGCCCGCGCCCCCGCGCTGGGGCTCTCAGGGGAGCGCCGACAGAACCGTCCCCTTGCCAGAGATTTTACCAGTTTTTTTTTTTTTTTTTTTTTTTTTGTTTTTTCTTTCTCTCCTCTCTCTCTCTCTCTCTCTCTCTCTCTCTCTCTCTCTCTCTCTCTCTCTCTCTCTCTCTCTCTCTCTTTCTTCCCCCCCCCCCCGCCCCCATCGCCGCTCCTCCCCGGCAGGAAGGAATCTGCAAGTCCACTAGTTCAGTCAGCGGCACTGCCCGACGGCTCACTGTGGCTGGGCTCGGGCGGCTCACTGTGGCCGGGCCCGCTCAGTGCAGCTCGCGCCGAGGCCGCCAGCCATTGCCCGAACCCGAGGTGCAGCGCGAGCGCAGCAGCCGCGAGGCCGAGTGCGCGCCAGCCCCACGGCGCGAGGACCACGCTGAGCAAGTTCCCGTCCGGGCCGCCAAGGTCGTGGCGGCTCTCGATGCTGTCCGTGATGTAGAACTCCCGGAAGCCGATCTTCTCCACGACCACTGCGTCGAGGGCGATGATGGAGCCAGAGAGCAAGAAGAGCGCCGCAGTCACCGGGAGCGTCGCGCGCGCGGGTGTGCCCATCTGCCCCCAATCGGATACTTCGCCGTATACCTTCACGTATTCCGCCTTCTTCTCCACAAGCTTCCGCACCTCGTCGTGCTCTGGCCGATGCGTTTTCGGAAGCTCCTCCACCGACGCATCGACTCGTTGCATGATGCCGTAGGCGAAGGCGAGGGTGGTGCCTGCCTGGCAAGCAGCAGCGAGCCCTGTGGCTACAGTGGCGATTACACTCCACATTCCTTCAGTGGCGCCCTCCTTTGTCAGCAAGACACCTACGAGGGTGTGCGGGATGATGCTCTCGAAGATCACTGGAACTGTACCAAAAAGCATCTGGGGAATGTCCAGCCGGAGTATGCCGCAGAGCACGCTCGTTGGGAAGTCGGGGCCCGCCACCCAGATGCGCACCTTGGACAGCTTGAAGCCATCCTCCTTGAGTATCGCCTCCGTGGCCAAGACGCCGACCTTGGTCACGCCAACGAACTGCTGCACTCTCACAGACTGGCCCATGAAATAGCCCGGCGCATATTGGCCAAGGCACGCTGCAAGGGCGCGTCCTCGAGCAGGTTCACTGCAAGGGCGTCGAAGATGGCGCGCGCCAACATGCCGCTCCACCTGTTCAGCTGCGCGGTCGCGAGCGACCCTCGCATCGCCGCCGGCGCGCTCCTCGCCGGGCTCGGGCCAGGGTAACGGGGCGCTTGTGTGTGCGCTTCCTCGTCCCAGCAGCCGCCCGTCTCTGCTCCGGCTACGATCAGGTAGCCCCGCCGCGAGCCCGCTGGTTCAGGGCAAGTCGTCTGCTTGCGGCGCCTCGCCCGTTTCAGCGCGAGTCCGGGGCAGAGCCTCTGCGCAATCTGCCTGCCTGTGGCCCTCAGCGGGGAGACGATGCAGGCGTCGAGCTGCCTGCCCTGGTAGGCAGGGAAGCCGTCGACTGCCACCTCGATGTGGCGCCCGTCGTTGGCGGCAGTGCGCGGGAGGTTCCTGTCGCGCAGGAACATGCTGGTGCGGGCGCGGCCTCCTGCCTCCCGGCGCACCCAGGTCCGAGTCCGCTCGATGGGAACGCCGCGCTTGAGCGGGCGTCCTCTGCGGGGGCACGCTGCTCTGTGGTCGCCTCGCTCGTCCAAGTGGGCCTGGCAGGAGCGCCCGTTGCACCTGCTCGCTGTGGCGTCTAGCGGCAAGCGAAGCCGTCTTTGGAGCAGCGCCCGAAAACGCCCTGGCGTGTGCGTGCTCTCCGGCGTCGAGGGGATTAAGGTCAGGTGCCGTCCGCCGCAGCGGCCCCCCGGCGAGTCGAGCATCCACTGCTAGTCGTCCGTGGGGGCCGTGAGCGCGACTTCCCCTCTGTAGCGCTGCTCTCGTGCTGCCGATGCGTGGTGCTGCCATCCGCGCTATCATTCGCCCGGCTCTGGCTCTGTCTGCTCAGGGCGCGCGCCGTCCCAGACCTCCTGCCCGGTCGGGCGCGTCGCCAGGCCGTCGCGGGCGGCGGCAGCCCTCGCGCGCTCTGCTTCCTGGAGGCGCCCGGCTGTGGCGCCAGTCCTGGCGCGGAGGGCGGCGGTGAGCTCCGTTGCTGCCGTGGGTTTTTCTGCCGCAGCATGGGGGGCGCGTCCGCCCAGGGCGCCCAGTGCGCGCTCTCGGCCGTGCGCGCGGCAGACCTGGCCCTGACTCCAGATCCGCCCTACTTTTTTTTGTTTCCAATTTAAAATTGCGTCGGAAATCCACCTATAAGGAGCAGAAAAAGTAAGGCGGATTTTTTTGAATTTCTGCGTCCAACATATAATAGGGCGAAAATCCACAGAAGTAGGGCGGAAACAACAACAGAAAAGTAGGGCGGAAATTGGCATCAGCGGGGCTTGAAAAGTAAGGCGGAAATTCCAAGCCCTACTTACGAATTTCCCCAAAGTAGGGCGGATCCGGAGTCAGGGGAGCCCGAGGCCCCCGAGGCCAAGCGGCGGCGAGCTCATTCGTTTAAGTCTCTCTGCGTCAGCTGGCCCAGGGTTGATCGAGGTCGAGAAGGCCGTGGGGCGTCTCCTGCAGCCCGCGGTCATGGGCCTCGGCGTAGGGCCGCGACAGCAAAGGAGGCGGCGCCCGCAGGACGTGGTTGCACCGCGGCACCGCGCAGTACAGCAGGAGCGCCCGAGCGCGCTAAAGGTCCAGCAGGTTGGGGGGTTCTCGTGAGAAGCTGCGCTCCTCGCGCGCCTTCTCCTGCGCCCGCTGGGCCGCGAGCGCTGCGGGGATGGAGGCGCGCGGGCCCCAGCCGTGCCAGAGGTGCGGGGGGCTGGCTGGGCCACTGTCCAACTAAATGCCAAGCTTTTTCCTGTTCGGGCCGTGTTCGGATCGCTGGGGGGGGGGGGGCTGTTCGCGCCGTGGGTCGCGCGGAGAGGACTGCGCTGCTCCTCGCCGTTCGGCGCAACCCGCTTCTGGAAGTTTTTCGGACTGGCTCTCCCTGGCGCAGGAAGGGGAGGTTTGGGGCCCTGACAATGCTTGTGGCATGAAGAGGTACGCTGCGATATGGTGTTCTGTTTTCGCGGCAGCCACGCATCGGCCTCCTGCCGCTCCTCCCCCTTCCTGCGTGTGGACTCCTGCGCACCGTAGTCTTGAGGAAGTCCTAGAGCGAGGGCTCGACCCTGTCACGTGGACTGGCAATGCATGGGCGGATTTTTTCCTAACTGGCTTCGACTCGTGTGATGATTGCTCACGCGATGGCTGAGGCGGTTGCAGGTGAGCGCAAGTTTCATAAGGCCACAGTTGAGTACGTCGCTTGGGCTGCGGCCAGAGTTGTTCGGTTGAAGCGTTGGACCGACGTCCCGCCGTCCCCAGACGTTTACAAATATCCACCTCTGCCGCAGCTTACCTTGCATGGACGCGCCATCTTGCTGACTGATGATGCTGGCGAGGTGCGTCGTGTCTCGTGCTTTGTCGGTGCCTGGACGACCAGCACGTTGAGTCATCTGTGTAGCGGCCCGTCCAAGTTTTGTCGACCCATGGCGGTCACGGTCTTGAATGGCCAAGAGTGGCTCCATTCCTGCGGGACCCGAGCTCGACCTTCGAAGGCTGCTGCTCTGGCGGAGGCGGACCAGGCCCTTGCTGCTACTGGTCTGCTTCCGCCTCCCCCTCCTCCTGGAAACCCTACGGGAGATGAAGGGGCTGTTGCCATCCGTGCTTTTTTAATGAACGGGTCCACTCTGTTCAGAGGCGTGGCCGTGTCTTGATCTGTGCTAGGTGTGTTGGTTTTCTGATGCTGCCTCATGGGGTCGAGAAAGCTTTGAGGGTTCCGTGTCGGGGGCCGTCCCAGGTCCCCTCGACCGGTGATAAGCAGATCATGAAATCGGCCAAAACTGAGAGAGGCCTCCATCCGTCCACAGGCGAGGCCTTGATGGATGTCCCCTCTCCGCTCGGCCCTACCCTCAGCCAGCCGACGAGGTCCCTCCGATTGGAGGATGCCGTTTCCCCCGGGGGGGTGGAGGCTCGGGTTGAGCGGGCGGAAGGGATCTCGGACGATTATGACTAACATTTTTTGCTTTCGGCCTCGGCGTCGTCTTCGGGTTTTCCTTTGTCGTCGCCGTACTGCCTCGCTGCCGCCGCTTGCGGCCGCCGTTTCTCTCCAGCCTGAGGGCGTTCGTTCCCTCGGACGCTTTCCAGTCGGCGCCCACCCATCCTCCCTTACTTCCTTCCTCCTCCCTCCTTCTCCTCCTCCTCCTCCTCCTCCTTCTCCTCCTCCTCCCTCCTCCTCCTCCTCCTCCTCCTCCTCCTCCTCCTGTTCCCTTTTTCTTCCTCCACCTCCTCCTCCTCCTCCTCCACCCCCTCCTTCTCCACCGCCTCCTCCACCTCCTCTCCTCTTCTTCTTCTTCTTCTGCTTCGTCTTCTTCTTGTTGTTATTATTATTGTTCTTCTTCCCCTTCCACCTCCTCCTCCTCCTCCTCCTCTTGCTCCTCTTGCTCCTCCTCCTCCTCCTCCTCCCTCGCGCCTGGGCCTGGCTGTGCTTGGCGCGCCCGCCCCAGGGCCAGGGAGTAACAAGGACATGCTTGAGTCAGACTCTTCGCCCAAGGCACGCACGACTTTTTGGGAGGGTCTCAGGGAGTTCCGCTAGCACAGGCAGCGGCCATGCCCCCGTCATCTTTGCAACTGCCTACAGACGGTAGCACATCCAAAAGGATGGGCCAGGCTCCCAGCCCAGCCTGCCCTCATCGGGCAGCGCTGGACCAGGGCACAGCGCAGGAAAGGACCGACTGAGGCTAGACAAATCCCCCCCAAACCCCATACTTGGACGAAGGCTTAGTGGTCGTGTCTGAGGAGCGCCCGGCGCAGGGCAAAGTGCCTGTACTCCCGCAGGAGAATCCTCTTGCACGGAAGTGTCAAGCTGAGCAGCACGGAGGATTTCGGGGACAAACAGGGGTGAGAGTCCAGTGCGGCAGGTGGGTCAGGTGGGCGGCAAGCCAGCGCAGTTGCGTCCGAGAGCCAGGCGGGGACGCAGAGGGGACGCGAAGCGCAGTGCATGATGGCGCCGCGATGTTCGGGCGGGGTCGCGGCAAGGCGAACCCGGGCCATGAGCGCACGCTCTTTCAAACGAGTGCCCAGTCGCATGCTCCAGCCGCATGGTGGTATCTTGTGGTTACCACCAGGGGGCCTCCCAGTTCTGAGGTGTGCTCATTGTGCGTGCCGAGGGAGCCTGCCCTCGAGCACTCGGCCACATCCATCAGTTATGCTCCCTCTCTCCTTCTCTTCGTCCTCTCTTCGCTAGTCCTCCTGGACCTCACCATGCCGTCCTTGCAGCATTGAGTTTTGTTGCTGTCCCAGTCAAAATCGTCCCTGTCCCCAGCTGAGTTTTGGCAACAATGCTGCGACGGATCCAACCGTGCCCACGAAGGCGCCCAAGGAGGTTCAACAGAGTAGTTCAGCAGAGCGTTCCGAAAACCGATCCTCGGACCTCGAGTCGTTGTCATCCTCCTCCTCCCCTTCTCCTTCTCCTCTTCCTCCTCCTCGTCCCTCCTCCTCCTTCCCTGGTCGCCGCCGCCGCCGTCGTCCTCGTCGACGTCGGTGCCGTCCGACACGTAACCGCTCAAAGTCGGTCCCTGGATTTCACTTAGGCTTCATCTTGGCGAGTTCTCAAGCCGCGTCCACCCGTGGGGACGACTGAATCCCCAGAAACGCTGCGAGTCTCCGAAACGGCGTCGACGTCGAGCCTCGCCCGCGCTCCCGCCCTCGCCAGAGCGTTGCCGCCGCCTCTCCGGGCGCCGCCGCCGCCGTCGCCATCTGGTCCTCGTCGCCGCCATTGCCGCCATCGCCGCTTCCCGGGGCGCCGCCGCCGCCGTCGCCGTCTAGGCGTCGCCGCCGTCGCCGCCTCCCACGGCGCAGCCGTCGCCGTGTGGTCCTCGTCGCCGCCGCAGGCGTCCTCGTCGCCCTCGTCGCCGTCTGCCCGGATCTGGTTCCCGAGCGGGCGGCGGCCGCGCCCGGCGTCCGCGCCTGCCGGCGCGCTAGTGGCCCTGGGCCGCCGCCTGGCAGCCATGCCGCGGTTGGCGCACTCGCAGGCCCCCATGGGGGCTTCTGTTCTCGAGGAGGGGATCGATTACAGAGTTGGTTTGCCCCAAAGTAGAACTGTTCGTCGAATCTGCGTATATATATATATTATTATATATATATAATATATATATATATATATATATATACATATATGGGAGATCCCGGGCCCCGGGCCCCGGGCCGGAACCTCCCTTGTATATAGGGTGCGGCCCTCTCCCGGGGCGCCCTTCCGGCGGCCCCCGCGCGTTCCAGCCCGCCCAAGAGGGCTCCAGGAGCGCCGAGAGAACCCCAGGATCGCTTCAAGACCGCCAAAGATCGCTTCCAGAAGGGTCAAGAGGCGCTCAAACCGCCCCAAGAGGCCTTCAAGAGGCCCCCCACGAGCGCCCCGGGAGACCAAAATAGCCCCATTTCCTTCGTAAAACGTGCATTTTTACGATATCAGCTCCCTTAGCTGTCGGAGCGGCCAGAAAGCCCCACGAGGCGCCCAAGGACGCTCCAGGACGACTGAGGACAGCCCCAAGACGGCCCAGGAGGGCCTCCCGGGACGCTCCTCCGGCGGCCCCCGGGCTGCCCAGTCCGCCCAAGAAGGCTCCAAGAGCGCCGAGAGAAGCCCAGGATCGCTTCAAGACCGCCAAAGATCGCTTCCAGAAGGGCCAAGAGGCCATCAAACCGCCCCAAGAGGCCTCCAAGAGGCCCCCCAAGAGCGCCCCGGGAGACCAAAATGGCCCCATTCCCTTGGTAAAACGTACATTTTTACGATATCAGCTCCCTTGGCTGTCGGAGCGGTCCGAAAGCCCCACGAGGCGCCCTAGGATAGCCCGAAGACAGCCCAGGAAGGCCTCCCGGGACGCTCCTCGGGCGGCCCCCGGGCCTCCCAGTCCGCCAAAGAAGGCTCCAAGAGCGCCGAGAGAAGCCCAGGATCGCTTCAAGACCGCCAAAGATCGCTTCCAGAAGGGACAAGAGGCCATCAAACCGCCCCAAGAGGCCTCCAAGAGGCCCCCCAAGAGCGCCCCGGGAGACCAAAATAGCCCCATTCCCTTCGTAAAACGTACATTTTTAGGATATATCATCCCTTGGCTGTCCGAGTTGTCAGACAGCCCCAGGAGGCGCCCAAGGACGCCCCAGGACGCCTGAGGACAGCGCTAAGAGGGCCTAGGAGGGCTTCCTGGGACGCTCCTCGGGCGGCCCCCGGGCCTCCCAGTCCGCCCAAGATGGCCCAAGAGACTTCCCGGTCGCCCCGAGAGGGCCCCCGGAGCGCTCCGATACGGCCCAACATGGCCTCCATAGGTCTTTCTATGTTTTGAGGCCCAGAATGAGGCCCTCCAGATTTGGTCCGACGATGTGGCGCGGCTCCAAGGGGGGGGGCCTAATATTGCAGAACAATACAATATGTAGCATATGTAACAAGTATGCAATCGTTGGATACACTGGACACGTTGCATTAAAGCATCCGCGGACCTGCCTCTGGCAACACGTCATTTTCGGACGTAGATTTCCCGCGAATCGCCACGGAATCGGACCCGTGCTTGCGAACACCGTTTTCGGAGCAAGCTAGAACCTAAGCGCGCGCGAAGCGCGCGCGTGGTTCTAGTGTATATATATATATATTCATATATACACAAATATATACATATATACATATATGTGTGTGTATATATATATACTATATATATATATATATATATATATATATATATATATATATATATATATATATATATATATATGGTCGATCCCCCCCCCAGCGACCCCCCAGAGCGCCCAAAGCACGAATACACAACTCAACTTTGGCCTGCCATCCAGGCTGACGAACTCATCCGCTCGGCCCATCCGTCACGGGCACCGTGCGCGCAAGCATATCGGTTTCGGCCGAGGCCACGAAACACTGTGTATCACAGGTTTTTCTGGTTTTTCTGGTCTGGGAACCAACGAAACACTGCGTATCACAGGTTTTTCTGGTTTTTCTGGTTTCTGGAGCTGAAATGCTCGCCGCGGCCTCGCCCCACCGCTCCCCCACCTCCTGTTTGTCGGCACCTGAAAACCAGAAAAACCAGAAAAACCTGTGATATACAATGTTTCGTTGGTTCCCAGACCAGAAAAACCAGAAAAACCTGTGATACACAGTGTTTCGTGGCCTCCGAGCAAGGCTCTGGTTCTGGTTCTGGTTCTGGTTCTGGTTCTGGCTCTGGTTCTGGCTCTGGTTCTGGTTCTGGTTCTGGCTCTGGTTCTGGTTCTGGTTCTGGCTCTGGTTCTGGCTCTGGTTCTGGTTCTGGTTCTGGCTTTGGTTCTGGTTCTGGTTCTGGCTCCTACCAGTGGTTGTACTGGCACAGGGGCGAGGATTTGTGGCTGGCAACAGGGAAGATGCTGGAGGAGGCCTTCCTCAAGGAGCACTGCCAGTGAGCGGCGAGCGCTGTAGTCCCCGAAGAGTACACAGTGTTTTCTTGCTCGGAGGCCACGAAACACTGTGTATCACAGGTTTTTCTGGTTTTTCTGGTCTGGGAACCAACGAAACATTGTATATCACAGGTTTTTCTGGTTTTTCTGGTTTTCAGGTGCCGACAAACAGGAGGTGGGGGAGCGGTGGGGCGAGGCCGCGGCGAGCATTTCAGCTCCAGGAACCAGAAAAACCAGAAAAACCTGTGATACGCAGTGTTTCGTTGGTTCCCAGACCAGAAAAACCAGAAAAACCTGTGATACACAGTGTTTCGTGGCCTCGGCCGAAACCGATATGCTTGCGCGCGCGGTGCCCGTGACGGATGGGCCGAGCGGATGAGTTCGTCAGCCTGGATGGCAGGCCAAAGTTGAGTTCTCCAACAGGGAGAGGACCAGGTGGAAGAACAAAAGGTGGAGGGCGAGGGAGGAGGGAGGAGGAGGACGAGTAACAGGAGAAGCAGGAGGCGAGGGGGGAGATGGAAGAGGAGGGGGAGGATGAGGGAGAGTAAGATGAGGAGGAATACTTCTCGGGTCACAGCCCGCTGTGACAGACCATGTGTCTGCGGCTGTTCGGTGCCAGCATCTCAAGACCGCGGCTTCGTGTTTTGGGCGTTTTGGGGGGTCGCTGGGGGGGGGGGACCGAGCATATATATATATATATATATATATATATATATATATATGTATGTACACACATTTATTACTATGTATATATATATATATAATATATATATATATATACATATTTATATACTTTTATAGGGCCGGGGACCCCGCCGCCTCGTTGCCGCCTCGTGCGCTGGATGGGTCTGCTTAGGTTTCGCAATGTTGCCGCCCGTCGCCGCCTCGGGGCCCTGGGTTGGGTCTGTGTGAGCTGGTTGGGTTTGGCGGAGTTGCCACGTTGCCGCCCGTTCCGCCTCGTTGCCGCGTCGTGGGTTGGGTGGGTCCAGCGAGGATTCGCTACGTTGCCGCCCGTTGCCGCCTCGTGTCTGGCGAGGTTTCGCCACGTTGCTGCACGTTGCCGCCTCGTTGCCGCCTCGTGCGCTGGGTGGGTCTGGCAGGGATTTTCCACGTTGCCGCCCGATGCCGCCTCGTCGCCACGTTGCTCGCCGTTGCCTCCTCATTGCCGCCTCGTTGCCGCTTGGTGGGTCCGGCGAAGTTTCGCCACGTTGCCGCCCGTTGCCGCCTCGATGCCGCGTCGTTTGCTGTGTGGGACTGGCGAGGTTTCGCCATTTTGCTGCCTCGTTGCCGCCTCGTTGCCTCCCTGCGAGCTTGGTGGGTCCGGCGAGGATTCGCCACGTTGCCGCCCGTTTCAGCCTCGTTGCCGCGTCGTTTCCTGGATTGGGTCTGGCGGGGATTCGCCACGTTGCCGCCTCGTTGCCGCTATGTGGTTCCGGCGAGGTTTCGCCACGTTGCCGCCCTTTGCCGCTTCGCTCCCGCCTCGTGCGCTGGATGGGTCTGGAGAGGTTTCGCCACGTTGTCGCTCGTTACCGCCTCGTTGCCGCCTCGTTGCCGCCTCGTGCGCTGGATGGGTCTGCTGAGGTTTCGCCACGTTGCCGCCCGTTGCCGCCTCGTTGCCGCTGCCTCGTGCGCTGGGTGGGTCCGGCGAGGTTTCGCGACGGTGCCGCCTCGCTGCCGCCTCGTGTGCTGGATGGGTCGGGCGAGGTTTTGCCACGTTGCCTCCTCGTCGCCGCCTCGTTGCCGCCTCGTGCGCTGGGTGGTTCCGGCGAGGTTTCGCCACGCTGTCGCCCGTTGCCATTCCGTTGCCGCCTCGTTGACGCCGCGTTGCCGCCTCATTGCCGCCTTCTCCGCTGGGATGCTCCAGCGAGGTTTCGCGATGTTGCCGCCCGTTGCCGCCTCGTTGCTGCTTTGTGCGCTTAGCGGGTCTGGTGGGGTTTCGCCTCGGTCCTGCCCTGTTGCCGCCTCGTTGCCGCCTTTTGCGCGGGGTGGGGCTGGCGGGGTTTCACCTCGGTCCTGCCCGTTGCCGCTTTGTCACCGCCTCTAAATTTCACCACGTATGCTGCACCGCATAGCTTCCACGACATAGCTTGCACCACGTAGAATTTGCACATTCACAGTGCAATCATTTACTGTGGGGGTCCACGCTGGCTAACACTGTTTGACATTGTTTGGCTTCGGGGAGGCTTCTCGACGCCACGGCCGGATCCCTTTCGGAAAATGTCCGCACGCCAGGAAAGGGCCAGTGTTCAAAAATCGGATGTCGTGGAAAAGTGAATGCGAAGTTGCATTCGTCATCCAAGATCCAGTTTTCCACTCGTTTTCGTGTGATCCTGGATCCGCCTCTCGTTTGCAGACCTCCGATGTCGTGAAAAAGTTCGAACGAAGTTTTTTCCATGGAGCGGTTTTGATGTGTTCTGGGGACTATTTTGGCTCCATGGTGGATTTTCGTCGAAACGGCTGGATCCGCCTCGAAACTCTGCTCGGATCGCATCTCTGGAGGGAGCGTTTTTTTCTGGGGGGAGCCCAACTGTGATGTCGTG